CTTTTTCCAAACCCAGTCGGCAAAATAGCTACAAGATTCTTCTTTTTGACGTAGAGCTGTTCCAAAGCTTGGCGCTGTTCGTTTTTCAGATTGATTCCGCGTTGTTCTAGGATGTTTTTCAACATATTCTCCTCAAAGTTAGCATGCGAGTACATCCTTGCCTTCAAGAAGGGATTCCACTGCAAGTTTTTGTTCATTTTTGAGTTGAACACGATTCTGTTTGCTTGGAGAAACTTCARAAATTACGGTATCGAAATTCATCCTGAAAGTATTACATTTTAACTATGAATTTATAAAGAGATTTGCTGTTTGAACTGTATAGACTGTAACTATTGGCCGAGGCTCGAAGGTTTCACACCTTCACTCGAAAAACAATGCCACGGTTTGATTGACAGGCGATTGACTAATGGGAATTTTACGTTCACCAGATGAATGTAGTTATGTGGAATGCACGCCTCTCGTAGCAGGCCCTACCTTTCCTTCCTTTCCTCGTCAGCGAAGGGCTAACGCTCGAAACGTCAGCTTTTGAAATCTTTAGGGTAGCCCATTTACTTTATGAACTTGGTTGGTAAAACCAAATGACCTTGTTATCCCCACCGACGCAGTCCCAAAGTTTTTCTAGAAACTTACCCTGTCTATTTTTTTTTAAGTTTTCTTTTTTGTTGATTCTTTCCCACGACAGCAAACAGGAAAGAGCTTTAATGTATAATGCAGCAGAAGTGCTTAAGTCAGTCCAGGCAGGATTAGATGTCGCCATATTTCTTCTTAAGACTGACCGTGGCTTACAAGCGACTCAATTATGTAATGAATGTGCAATTTTACTTCAAAAACTTGACTGTGGTATTCCCCTCGATATCTCCGATGTATTATTCAATGCGTTCTACGCCATCTCTGGTTACACAAACGCGGAAAGTTCTGCCAACAAACTTCTCGAAACACTCCACAACGCTGGAATACTAACAAGACAAGTGGGAGACAAATATAAAGCACAAGGCCGGTTTCTAGAGGCAAAACAACTTTTTAAAAGCGCACTTACCATCACGAAAGCAATTGGTCACAGAAGAGAAGAAGCTGTGGCTCATGATAGACTTGGAACTGTATGTAATAGCCTCAGTGAAGTGCAGAAGGCAAAAAAACACCACCAAAAAGCACTTGCCATCGCGATAGAGATTGGCGACAGACATAGCGAAGGAGTGATTTATGTGAACCTCGGACAGGTGTTTCATTCCCTTGGGGAAAAAGAACTTGCTAATGCGATAGAAATTGGTAACATACAAGGAGAAGGAATAAGAAACGGGAACCTCGGAGCTGTGTTTGATTCTCTCGGCGAATATCAGAAGGCTAAAGAATATTATGAGAAAGCACTTACCGTCGCAGTAGAGATTGGCAACAGATATTTAGAAGGATTAAGTAACGGGAACTTAGGAGAGGTTTTTGGTTCTCTTGGCAAACATCAGAAGGCCAAAGAATACCTTGAGAAAGCTCTTGCCATCGCAATAGAAATTGGCAACAGACATGGAGAAGGAACAATTTACGGGAAATTAGGAAATGTTTTTTGTTCCCTTAGCGAATATCAGAAGGCTAAAGAATACTTTAAGAACTGAAGCACTTGCCATCGCAATAGAAATTGGCAACAGACATGGAGAAGGAACAATTTACGGGAAATTAGGAAATGATTTTTGTTCCCTTAGCGAATATCAGAAGGCTAAAGAATACTTTAAGAAAGCACTTGCCATCGCAATAGAAATTGGCAACAGGAAAGGGGAAGGAACAGCTAATGAGAAACTCGGAGCTGTGCTTCATTCCCTTGGCGAAAATCAAAAGGCTAAAAAATACCTCGAGAAAGCACTTGCCATCGCAATAGAAATTGGCAACAGAAATGCAGAAGTAACAAGTAACGGAAATCTCGGACAGGTGTTTTATTCCCTTGGCGAATATCACAAGGCTGAAGAATATCATAAGAAAGCACTTGCCATCGCAATAGAAATTGGCAACAGAGATGTAGAAGGAGCAATTAACGGGAACTTAGGACAGGTTTTTCATTCTCTAGGCGAATATCAAAAGGCTATTGAATACTTTGAAAAAGCACTCGCTAATATGATAGAAATTGGCGACATACAAGGAGAAGGAGTAAGTAACGGGAACCTCGGAGCTGTTTTTTGTTCCCTTGGCGAATATCAAAAGGCTAAAGAATACCAAGGGAAAGCACTTGCCATCGCAATAGAAATTGGCAACAGACATGCCGTAGAAAGAAATTACATGAACCTAGGACAGGTGTTTTATTGCCTTGGCGAATATTACCAGGGTAAAGAATATCTCGAGAGAGCACTTGCAATCGCAATAGAAATTGGCGACAGGGAAGGAGAAGGAAGAATTAACGTGAGCCTCGGAGCTTTGCTTCATTCCCTTGGCGAATATCAGAAGGCTAAACAATATTGCAAGAAAGCACTTGCCATCGCGATAGAAATTGGTGACAGAAATGGAGAAGGAATAAGTAACGTGAACCTCGGACAGGTGTTTGATTCCCTTGGCGAATATCACAAGGCTAAAGAATGTCATGAGAAAGCACTTGCCATCACTAAGGGGATTGGGGACAGACATGGAGAAGGAACAGTTAACAGGCACCTCGGACAGGTGTTTGATTGCCTTGGCGAATACCAGAAGGCTAAAGAACATTACGAGAAAGCACTTGCCATCGCGATAGAAATTGGCGACAGAAAAGGAAAGGGTTTTTCATTCTTGTGACTTGGACGTATTTGTTTTAAGCTTCGAAAAAATCTGCAAGCTAGAAAATATTTGGACAAAGCAGTTGGTATCAGCTTAGCAATTGGTTGCAGAGAACTAGAAGCCTACGCCACTGGAAGTTTGGCAACTGTCTTTGCTTCTGTGAATGACAATAAGATGGCAAAAGAACATTGCGAGAAGGCACTTACCATCAGCAGAGAGTGTGGAGACAGAAAAGCCGAAGCAGGAATTTACCACGTCCTTGGAAATCTATCCGATGTTCTCGGTGAAAGTGGCAAGGCAGAAGATTACTTAAAGAAAGCTTGTTACCTAAGCAGCCAAATTGGAGATGAAATGACTGAGTTTCAAAGCCTTCTCAGCATTGCACTATTAAAGATATCGCAGTCAGAGGTTGTGGAGGCAAAGGAATGTCTTCTTCGATGTATTGGAAAATATGAGCAAATCAGATTTTTTCTGAAAGGAAACAGTGAATTTCAAATATTTTTGTCAGAGGAACATGGTACTTTTCCCTACCAGTTACTCACTGACATGCTTTGCATTACTGAAAAAGTTCGAGACGCTCTTTATGTTGAGGAGCTGGGACGAGCAAGAGTCCTCGGAGAATTCATGGCAGACAAGTACTTCCTGGAAAGTCACAAAGCTGATCCACGATCAGGGTTCAAGATGGAAAATATCGTGAAAAGAAAAAGTAAGTCTGATTTTCTGTATATTTCGTATAGAGAGCGGCAAGTTATTCTCTGGGTTTTAAAACCAAACGGAGACATTTGGTTTCGAGTAACAGACGAAGTGAAAATAAACACTCTTATTGCTGAGCAAGTTTGCGATGTGGAAGGAGTTTTCAAAAAGAGCGCCGCCGGCTTTGGCGTTTTACCCGCAGCGAACTGCGAAGATCGATCTTTGAATGACAACGAGACGACATCTCTTTTTGAAGAGAGCCGAGCAAATTTGCGAGGTGACGAAACCAAAGATACCGAAAGAACTCATCATTTGTGCTACAAATGGATCATCGCACCTGTGGCAGATTTGCTGACAGAGCCTGAAATCATCATTGTGCCGGATCGATTCTTGTACCGAGTCCCATTCGCTGCCTTGCGAGATGAACCAGGTGGAAAGTATTTATCGGAGAAGTACCGAATACGCATCGTCCCTTCTCTGACGACTCTCCGTCTTATTCAAGAATGTCCTGCAGACTATCACAGTATAAGTGGTGCTCTGGTTGTGGGTGATCCTACGGTTGGCAAAGTGCATTACAATGGCCGTCTCATCGATATTACAGCATTGTTCCATGCAAGAGAGGAAGCAGAGAAAATTGGTCGACTGCTGGGCGTCGAGCCTTTGTTAGGAAGTCGCGCAACAAAGCAGGCGGCACTTCAAGCAATACCCTCAGTGAGTCTAATACATCTTGCCGCACATGGAAATGCCGAAAGAGGAGAGATTGCCCTCTCTCCTTCATCCACCACGAACAGTATTCCACAAGAGAAAGACTATCTCCTGACAATGTCCGATATCCAAGGAGTTCAAGTACGAGCTAAACTGGTAGTACTTAGCTGTTGTCACAGTGGGCGTGGATTGGTAAAAAAAGAAGGAGTTCTCGGAATCGCTCGAGCATTCTTAGCATCCGGTGCACGTTCAGTGTTGGTAGCATCGTGGGCTATAGAAGACGAAGCAACGAAACAGCTCATGAAACATTTCTATGAACACCTTGTTCGTGGAGAAAGTGCCAGTGAATCTCTTCACCAGGCTGTCCAATGGTTGCGAAGCAACAGCTTTCCCAAACCTTCCCAATGGGCTCCGTTTGTGCTTATGGGGGATAACGTGACCTTTGATTTTATGAAAAAAGGGTAAGTCTCATTATAATGAGCAATCACCCATAAAAAAGCGTTTAACAAAATGAATTTGCTCATTTGTTCCACTTGTAGACAATTTTAGTTCGTTTGTTGTTTCATCATGGTATATAAAATGTTGAGAAAAAGAAGATTATCTCATGTAGCGCTCGAGGCCGAAAGAGTTTGATGACTTGCCTTGAATTGGCTTGGAATTAGAGTTTCTTTTGTGTGGGAGATATTCAGAAATAATTGCTCGAGGCCGATACAATGCTAGACTCCACGACCATGAAGGTAGTCTGAGAAAGTTATGCTAACTCTAAAAAGAGTTAAATTTATTTTGTAAACAAAACAATAACAATTAAATGAAATTTAAACTGAAAAGAGACTTTTGCATCAAGCATGGAATGGTCGACAAACTTTCGGAAAGTTTGGAAAATCATGACCAACGACATTGAGGAAGAGAGTAATTTCTCTTAGAGGAAATCTGTTCTGCATGCTTTAAATGGTGACGTATTGAATGTATAACGTTTGTTTTAGGAAAAAGGAACTCAAGGAGGACAGCGGCAATGGGACAGAGAAGGAACAGAGTGATGACTAGTCCTACACAAAGATTCTTCTTCTTGCACATTGTCTTAAAATGGACGCTGGTATCACTTTGCGTAGATATTTTTCATCTTTTTTTTAAGTCAGGTTGTGAGTTTTTGCATGCTTTTTTAAACAGGGTCGAATCGAAAGCAAACTGAGCGACAATGAAACCTGAAATTCAGCTGTTAGATCTATTAAGTATATTACTAGAGCACTTAAGTAAATTGGGATGGGAAAATTGAACGCAGGAAATTAGATAAATGTTTAAAAATGTGAGAGTGTCGACAAAGTTTCGTTCAACTCAAAATTAATTACATTGACCTGGTTCTTAATTCTCCGGAGCTTGCGGACGTCATCATCAAACAGTGATAAACATAGGCATGCCACGCATGCAGGAGTTAGGTTTTGGTTGGGTAGGTTGAGGTGAGACACTTTGTGTGACTAAATTTTTTACATTCTTGTAAAAGAAAAATGGTATTAATCTGCAAAACAACGAAATGATGTTGCATTTCTTTACTCTAAGAAAAAGGAAAACAACCTTCTAATTTATCTGAAATAGACTCGCACACGTGCAGATATTTTGTGGTCTATTGTCTCTGTTGTTTGAATACTTCTAAACAAAAATAAACGGTATTGGTGTCACGCTTACTGTAGTCTCCTTAGTAGCCATTATCTAACAAATGGTAAAAGTCACAGCCTACACCACTGATTACACTACGCGGGACAGTTTTCTAAGCACGAAAGAAGCGTAATAGTTGCTCGAGGCGATATCCGAGAGTGAATTTAGCTTCTTAAGACGAACAAATGATTAGCAGGGGCGTGATTTACTACTTTAACAGCTTTCGTGCCATCTCTAATGGCGTCACTCTTTGACGTTCAGTTCACTTATGCAACCTGTGTAGGCATTATTAGTTTTACCTCTGCGTAATGATCACAAACTTGACTGTCCTTTGCTTTGGGAAGGTTAAAAGACGAGGCTTCATTATTAAAACAGATCAATCCCTTTATCACTGTAAAGGTTACCTCGCTAATCTTTGCCGATACTTCTACAAACAAGTGCCTTTGTTCATGGTTCAGTTGTACCTCACATTGTAGAATAGTTAGACTTCAGATTAAGAATGTCGCTTTGGATTTTTGGAGATTTAAAACGCGTTCTGTTACAGCTCAATTTTTTTTAATTTGGTTTTTTTTTTTTTTTGCTTTTTTTTTTGTTTGTTTTGTTTTTTGTTTTTTTTTTGCTATTGGGGCCTGAGCCCTGAGTGACCCGAGTGAAATCAGTCAATTTCAGTAATCAAGAAAGTTAAAACTTTAACGTACAAAAAAGACACAGAAATGCTGAAGATAGAATTCCTGTGGTTTAAAACCATTGTGTAAATGTTATGCGCTATCTGAACTATTCCTTTGCGATGAACTAGTCGCTATTTTGCGACTTATTAACAAATTTTAGTCGGAAAAATTTGAATCGAAAGTGCTCCCGTGTTGGTTGCAATTTCGAGCCCTGATAGCGATGTTGGTCGCGGTTTTCGAGCCCGCCGAAATCTCTTTAATTCCTTAAAGTGACTGGCGTTTAATTTATCCTTACAATATCACCCCTGACACATTTAAGTCACGAGAGTAAAGGAGAAGATTCTCAACTGAAGAAGCTCAGTCTTAGTGTTAAATATATTCTCCTTTTCATTATCTTAGGAAATGTACAGAGAACAGACTGGAGAATATACCTACTGATGTTAGGGTGTTTAGGGTAAAATTGTGAGGAGATGGTGATCGGTCTGAATTGTTCTAACCTGAAGGCGGCTTTTGTGTTAATATTTTCCTAAGAACTTTGCTCAGGTTAATTTTCAAGAGAAGCAGATTTGTGATTTATGTAAGAGTAACTTTGATTGAAAACAATGAAGGATAATACTTATCGGAGTTGTCTTCGTTTCTGTCGAGTGATGCATAGGAGCGAGTTCTAGGTTTTTTTCGTAAAACCAAAACCGAAGTAACTGCAGCAACGGCTTAAAACAAAAGTATATTGTCTCTGTTGGTTAAATAGTTCTAAGCAAAAATAACCGTGAGCATTGGTGCCACGCTTTCTGTAGTCTCCTTCGCAGCTCTATTTACCCCGCTGAAGAGATCAACACCCAAATGCACCGATCTGATTGGTGCGACATACATAATACTTTATACGCCAGCACAGTTATTTTTTCATTCATAAAAAAAAATTACTTAAAAAGAGTTTTGAGTCTAGCTAATCCACTGACTAACCAGTCAAGGGGCGCTTGTTCCCAGATTGCAGAGCGATTGCGTAGTCCAATCGGAATGACAATAGGATAGAGAAATCTGCGTGGAAGTACTTGGCGCTCAGCCTCAGGTTTGTATTGTTTTCTTGCAAACTCATCTTCTTGTGCCTTCACTCTCGTTGTTTTCCACTAGTAATTCTAGTGACCATACTCCCACCAAAGAACGCTTGCTCTAAGCCTTCGGAGGCTGGGACTGGGATCGACTACTGGTTGCCAGGCAGCGATATCCAAATACGCTGCGAGACCATATGATCATAATCATTGCCTAGCAACAAGTAGTCAACACCCGTATGTTTTATAAGTAAGGGGTCCGCCATCTTGTCAGTGAGGAAGGAAAACTCCTTTGTTAGGATTGCAGTACCAAGATATCAGCCATGGCTATGCAAGTGTCTTCACGGCGAGGAGAAGATTATGTAGAAAGTATATACAATTTGATCCCAAAGATCCAAGAGAGGCCTCCAAAGCCCTCAATGTAAGTTTTAATTCGACGCGGTCCTCGACCTTGATCAAGTTTTCCACGATTGCGATATTTTGCACCTAAACTTAACTTATTAGTTTGTATTGTTGTCTTTTCGTTACATTATAAGCAAGGCCTTGATTTTCTAAGTAATTCATCTTCACAGGTACCGCTCTAATTTTGCTACAACCGTAAAACAGGAGCAAAAAACGAAGAAGCAAAGTTCGAAAACCATGGTAAGCGTTTGTTGTTAAGAAATAACCTCCGTTACCATGTCGCACTAGTGAAGTTGATCTGAGGTTGTAAGCAACAGTATTTCATCGTGTATTGACTGAAAGTCTTCCTCTGTCCTCCTCAGGGCCCTGCGAAAGTTGCTGTCACAGAACCCAAGGAGTTTTTGACTAAACATTCCAAGGAGTTCAAGCTGCCAGAAAGTAAGGAAAGAACTTTCAATTATTGAGATTTCATTGCGAAGTTTGCTTATTGCTTGAGAAGAAAACCTTTTCAGTCCATAAAAATTGTAATTTTTGGCTTTTAAAATGCTGTTGTCCAGTAAGAAGTAGTTTCATCATTCCTACTTTAGTCTATAGATCCTAAGCTTCAAATCATACATCATAAGCTTTCTCCAGAAGCCCAGCTTTTTCAATTGAGATTTTCTCGTGTTACATAATTTCAAATCTTATTCATTAACTCATTTTCTCTTTTAGAAACTGGCTTCACGTATCCTGATCAAGATAAAAGACGTCCCCCGGTCCCTAAACACACTGAAAAACCTCTGATGGGATTACGCTCCACAAAAAATCACATCACAACAAATGCTGTGGAGAATATCATGTCTGTGCCTAAGATGCCTGAGAAAAAATTTGCAGACACACGTGGAGGAGCCATACATCAACTGGATCCATCAGGTCTTACGCCAAAATATGTGAACAAGAAAGATTACGGAAAGACCCCAGCTTATCTGGAAAAAAGGAAGGCCGAAGTAGAGAGAGCACAGATGGAGTATGATGCTTATGTACAAGAAAGATGTAGACAAGGAGCCATGAAAAATTTGACAGAGGATGAGAGGTAATTAAACAAGAATTTTTGTTTGTTACCACCAACAGTTTTAAACTAAACTGGTTGTCACCATTGTGACTCTTTAGTTGTATTATTCCTTGTTATACATGGCGGCAAGATTGGGTGCCCAATCCAAATTTATTGAAAGTTTAAGAAAAGATTCAGAGGCTGGAATTTATGCAAACTTGATTTATTGAATTGAGTTTTAACAATATGGAGTTATTTGTCTAAATTGGACACGATTTTCAGGTGTAAAATGTCTGTGAAGGAGGCCAAACACCTGCCTCTTTTAAGTTCAAAAGAGGTCATGCTTTATTGCTTTATATAAATAGTTTCTATATTAAATTTCATTTTAATTCAAATTTGCAGACAAGGTATACTTGATGGATTGAAAAAGAACTGGGAGGAACTTCACCACCAATATCAAGGACTTTCTGTGGTGACTGACACGGCACCAAAGAAGGCACGAAAAGAGAGAATGGAGGCAGAAATGAAACAGTTAGAAAGAGACATTGAAACAATTGAGAAACACAGAGTTATTTACATTGCAAATCCTTTCTTTTAAAGAACACCCTAGTGCTAGTTTTAATGTTAACCTGATTCCCTTTTTTCATTTGGATGTGACCAGCTACTGATACTCTCGAGGAAAAGTGGTTTAGCATTATCTCCAGGGTATATGTTGTTTAGGTAAAATAGAGAAAAAAAAGTTAGAGAAATCCTGCATTAACGAAATTGTAAATACAGTTGTAATCATGTACAAAGTATTTTATTAAAAATCAAGCAATGATAAAAACTAGTTTGTAGTGTATTGTGATTTTCTTAATCTTTGTTGACAAAATTTTAAAAGAAGGTCCCTGTCAACCCCTCAATTTATCCATATATTTCATACAGAAGAAAAAATACATGACAAAAGTTGATGGAATACTAAAAGCGTGGGTATGATCATCCAAACATGATAAAATCATGAAGGTATGTGAAATAAGGGTTAAGTTGTTCAAACCTTTCCAGTTAACTTAAGCTTTCCTTTGTCCCAGATCTAACATCATAAGCAGATAAAAGTTAAACCTTTACACCCCACCATTAGTGTGCTTCTTCTCCATACCTTTCCCATGGTACTCACAAAGAAAATTGGTGAAATAATCAAAAGCTTCCCAAGTTGATTGTCATTTCTATTCTTGTGACCTTCACGTGTGACTGAAGGGTGACATTGTCAGGAATCATTACAGCCAAGCCACTCCAAGGCATAACAGGGTTAAACTAAGAAAATCTGAAACAGGAAATGTTTCATTTTGTATTTCACTGATCTCATCCATTTTCTGGACAGTATGGGAAAACTAAAGAACATATTGTATTGTCTCACACTTTCTTTTTTTCTAATAGTCCTTTTCTAAGTACAGAGAAAGTACTCATAAAGAGCTTGGACAATTTATGAGTTTTAATGTTACCATGCATCTGTTCGGTAAAGATCAAAGATGATGTCAAAATGTGGTTAGTCCAAAAAAGTGGCCTACAAGGTGCATTTCAGTATGTCACTGATGGTCTCACACATTTTGATCTCGTCTGTGATTGAACATCAGTATGCATATTCTCTATACTGTTCTCTATACAGTGGAATCGCAATTTCTCGAACCTCCAGGGGAAATGCAAATTGGTTTGAGAAATTGGGAGTTCAAGAAATTGGGGGGTGAAATTACAAGTGAAGCAAATTCAAGGGAAACAAGGTTTGGTTCGAGATAGTGGAAGGTTTGAGAAACCAAGGGTTTGAGAAATTGGGATTACGCTGTACATTTCTAGCCTGCGTCGCAGACAGTCTAAACCGCCGGTACGACTATACCAGGGATTGTAAAACACATCCGGCTGCAACGCAGGCTATACATTTCCTAAGGTGCTAACAAGGGAAATTTGGATAAAAATCTAGAGCATCTGTAGTTGTTGATCATTTCCCTTATTCTCATGAACTTAATGTCTGATTCAGGGGTGATACTGTTGGGAGAAAATAGATACTAGCCATTCTTAGGGGTTGAGAGGTTAAGCAAATGAATACTAACACAACTCTGGATAATCAGTGATCAGACAGAATCAGTAGAATTTATTGCACACAACAGTTATCTTTTGTCATATATTCTTAAATTTTCTTCAATATACAAAAGGAAGCAAGGAACAAGATATTTGAAGGCTATGTACACAATAAGAAGAACAAGAACACCGAGCCTCCATGTATGCCAAGGAATTCCCAATAAAAGTTCTTCAAGCACTGAAAGAGTAATAACATGACAGTCTATGTATCAATAGACTACTTTCATAAATGGCTGCCGTATAAATATTCTTTTGTTTAAATTTAAATTAGCCCTACTGGCCTCGCTTGAGATAATGTATTCCTTTCAATTTTGTACTGGAGAACGAGGCCAGTAGGGCTAATTTAAATTTAAACAAAAGAATATTAATCTGGCAGCCATTTATGAAAGTGGTCTATAAAAAATTATCCCCTGCTACACCAGTCTTGCACAACACAGCAAACAAACATGGTAGATCTGTTTGGGTATCTTGATTGAGAGAACAAGAAATCCCTGAGGGCTCAAGGATAGCCCCAAGGGTGAGAAGGAGGGTAAATAAATAACTGAAATTATCAAACACTTTCTTGAGTTGTTGAAAGTGTGATAATTTGCCACAAACATACTGAACGAAAAATCACAGGAAAATTAAGGGGTAAGATCTCCAAAGATTCCTAAGTCCCTAATAAAGTAATTTAGCTACCAATTTATGTCACAAAGTGTAAAACTCTGCAAATCAAGGATCCCTCTTCATTACTGATAGCAGGAAGAGGTATAGCTTTAAATACAATTTTTTCAGTAATACTGTGATCAGTGAGCAACAAAAAATTAGAAATGCTTGCCTATATTGTAAACTACAGGCTCAGCTAAACTTGCAGGATTATAAGGAAGTCCAGTTCTGACTGCTGTGACATTTGCATATTGCTCCTGAAAGATCAATAAATAATACCTTTTATTAAGATCTGTGTAAGTTGCCCCACATGAAAGACCACAATCATCAAAGCCCTTGAGCTCTTATTGGTTTCAATAGCTGCAATAAATGACTAAGAATGTTCCTACTCCCCTGACCCTCCTAGATGGGGGTCCAGTCCATGACAGGGTTACCCCACCCCCAGCATTTGGTAAGGTTTCCCTGACAGTCCACCACTGCCAAGTTGAGCTTGCAGGTGGAGAGAGGCACTGGGTCACCACAGTATCTTGCCCAAGGACATGACACAGTCATTATAAGCAAATTATGTGTTTATTAACTGCAAAAAATGTAACTAAATATATTAAAATTACATAATAATAATAATAATAAGAATTTATTATTATATCAATTGAAGGAAACTTATGATGATGCCCCCTCCCCCCAATTCCCAGTAACCAGTCCAGATCACATCACAGTAATTTCGTAAGTGGGTTCTTTAACGTCTCCTGCCAAACCAAATAAACTAATCAATAGATGCAGGAGACGGAACCTACAGTTTATTTGTCCTTGTGCGAGAAGACTAGTATGTCTCTCCATTTCTTGATATCAAAGAAAGGCAGCACATTCTCCTCAGTTGTTTTAAGACCTTGAGTGTTGGTCTGGCTGGGGTTTAAAACCCTCGACCTCCCACACAACAGTCTGGTGCTCTAACCAATTGAGTTAACCAGGAGGCAGTTATTGAGGGATCAGGGTAAATGATGTGGCACAAGCACTAAACTTGAGAGAGATGGAATATCCCAATGTTCATATCCTCTACTTCAGCTAGATTTGGAACTTAAGGTTGAGATAATCACATCTATGCAAGAAACAAATTACAAACTATTAAAAAGTAATAACAATACCTTTAACCCATTATCAAACACTAGTTTTTCAATATTTAAGATTTTCCTTGTTTTTCTGCCATGTAGAGCTTCACGAGGAATCACCCGGATATAAAAATCTGTTGGGGTCTTACAGGAAAAAGAACATAGCATATGTTTATATCTTGAGAAATTTTGCTAAGGGGGGTAAATAGTTAACTATAACATCAGTTATCTTACCCAGAACCTGACTACTAAGGCATTGGAATTTGTGGAAAACCTATACACTATTTTTGAGGAGGGGAGGGATAGGAAGGGAAAGGATGAAAGGCATCAAGATGAATTAACAGGTAGCAGTGATGGACATGGCTGCTCCTGAAATAGTGAGGTGGTAAATTTAAGTCCATTTTCACTTGTAAATTGAAACTTCTGTAAAGGAAAGCCCCTCAAAAGGCCAACAAGGACTCAAATAAAACGGGAAGGGAGAAAGTACATGTCAAAAGTGAAAAATAAAAATGCAATACAAATCAAAGAAAGTTCAAAGTTTTGATTGTCATTTCCCATTTAGAATGTTAAAAGTTTTGAACTTTTAATTGTACAAAATATTGATTTCATCATTTTGACATAGAACAAAATAGGTCGATTCATCCTACAAAGTAGACCACCATTAATGCTAAGGACCAACCTGTTTTCAGCAGCATTAATACTAGAAGAATTACCAGGGAGTGAGTGTTGTTACTTCTCCTCCCCCGAATTGGAGTGCTAGTCCATAGTTAAATTCCCCTCCACCCTCTTATTTCACTGGGTTACCTTGTGAGTTTGTAATTCCTATTTATATTATAATGGTTAGGGAGCTAAATGCCTTATTCTAGAACATAACACTCTGACTCATCCAGCGCTTGAACCTGGATCTTGCAATCAAAATGTTTAGCACTAATCACTAATGCACCATGCCTCCTGCATAGAACAAAATAATTCAAAGTTAAATACCGTTGAAGGGTATGACACTCGCAATTCATAACTTTTGCTTGGTTTCAGTTGTACCAGGTGGTACAAAGTTGTCTTTCTATGATACAGAACCTGAAAAATAGAACCTAGTCAGAGACAAAACCATGGAGAAGAAGGCATCAATAATGCCTATACAAAAAGTTTTGGTAATTTCACAGGAACCTGATGTGGCATTTTGAGTGGGCTCTAGTCCTAGAGCATTTGCTATTGAGCTTGGAAGTTGTATTAACATTACACTTGGAAGAGATTGGGCACAAAACAGTATGATTTTAGAGATTATGCATTTGGTAAAAGATAATTTTTTCTTTGTTGGAAAATATCTTATAATTCTCACCAAGACTGGACAAATTTCCCCAAAGATTGGTGGTGTGGGAGGTTTTCTTGCAATGCATTCATTCATTCATCTATCTTTGTTTGTTTGAGCAGGTTGAGTTTGTGGCAGCAATTTTTGCTGATGTGGACCTCCAGCACAACACAATCTGGCGCTCTAACCAATTGAGCTAACCGGGGGGTGGCCATATGCCAATGGTTATTATCAAAACACTGCATTAGGTCTTCTCCAATGTTTAACATTACAAAAATCACCAGACAAAAAAATTCCTAACAAGTGGCAAGATGTGGTAATGTTAGGTAACATAACTTTTCATGGATTGATCCTACAACAACATAATAAGCTGAGAGACCTGAAAGCTGAAACCTTGAGTACAACAGGGACCTTAAGCAGTCAGTACGGCAATGTCAAGGAAAACTTCGATTAAAAAATGAATTTCTATTCTTAGTTAGAATTTCAAAAATGGCTGCATGAGCTTACTACTCATACGGCGCCACAGCTCAACTTCAGCATGATGTATAGAAGTGGCATTAAGTTCCAAATGGAAATTAAATTAATTTGCCGTCGCGGTTTTGGTTCACAGACGATGCAAATTCTGGCGATTTCACTTTGTTGTTTTGCATAGGACGGCTAAGAAATGTACAAAGTTTCAAACACACGTGCTGAGCTATTGTTCTGCTGATTAGATCTCTTGTTTTTCCACGTCCTCATTACTGTCGCCATCGTGGTTGCTTAAGGTCCCTAATATATTAGCACTGTTGAAGTCAAACCAGTACTACAAGACATCAGTGGAGAACAGCTGTGCAGAGCAGCTAACAAAGCACAAGATGCAAGGTTGGACAATCATGCATGTGGCTTCCGGGAATACCAATTAACAGCATTCTTTGATGTCAGGGTCTACCACCCAAATGCCAAATCCAATAAGGACAGAGAGCCACAAAAGATCTATGGAATGCATCCATGGGAAGAAGAAGAAGTGTCAGTGCTCAAGGAGAGTTCTTGACATTCAGTATAGAAGATTTGTGCCCCTAATAATTACCACAACTGGCAGAATGGGTCAAGAGTGCTTGACATATCATTGTCACCTTGCAAAGCTGACGGCTTTAAAGAAGAGAGCCACATGCAAAGATGATCTCCTGGATTGGGACAAAAACATCCTTTACTCTTTTAAGATCCACCCTCATCTGCTTGAGGTGTTCAGGAGAAATGAGACCCCCCGTGATGCAAGGAATGCTGATTTTGATGTCCAGACAATAGAGGGAATAATCTGATTGTGAAATTTTAGATTTTATCAGCTCTACTTTTATTGCATAGTTTTTAACATGGATTCAATTTCTGGATTATATTATTGTACATGATTAAAATCTTTTGTGATAAAGACTGGTATTATTATATTCTGAATAATAAACATTTCAATCACCATAATTATTAATTTTATTATTACTACTCTTATTATTATTATTATTGAGTAGTGATTTTCGTGATTTTTCTTCACATTAATGAGGAATCAAAGTGTCACTATTGTTACTACTAGTATTAAAATGTCTAATAAAATTGTTATTCTATATCATGTTACCACTTTTATCATTTTTTTATCATTCTCATCATACTGCAGTATTCACTCAAACCTGATTTAATAACGGCTTCTCTGGCTCCAACCTATGAAAAAAAAAAAAGCTTGAACACGAAAAATGACCACACGAAAATATAAAGAGAATCGAAATCATCATTTTACCTTGTTTGTGCATAGATTCGGAACACAGAGCAGTAGAACACAAAACTATGACAAAAGACAACAAGCGAGATTTCGTGAGTCATGTCTAAACATTTTGCCTATTCGAAGCCTCTAATAATTTCAAGTTGAACCGCTGACTAGCATTGTTTTTTGTTCCTTTTTAGTACACACAGTACACACAGTACAGTACGTATCATCATGTGACCTATTTAGTTCATTCTGATTGGCTCCCATTAGATTATCGCGGTTACCTAGCTATAAAGTTTTGGCAATTTGGATGGCGTTTCTGCGAAGAATTCCTTCACTTTCAAAGTTATTTCGTTGGTTTTCCACCGTTTCTGTTATCTCAAAGAGGCGTTACAAGCACATTGAGGATCTTTGTAAGTTTGTTTCCTATTAGTGGTACTTTTAGCCCGCGAACTACGATGGAAAGTTTACATTTAAGACATGGTGCGACGCTACTCTGGTTTAAAGATTTAATGAATGTAACCGGATTTGCAATGTATCGACCCACAGTTCGACACTCCTGTCTAGTGCTTCGTCAGGGGTGATCTGATTGTTGCAACAAGAGGCCGTTTTATATGCTCATTAATTCGCTGCCGTTTTATTCTGACGACGTGTAAATGGCCCACGAACGAATGGCTTCGAGCGACTGTAAATAATGTCACTTTCATTGATGACTGCCATGGGCGTTGGGTAGTATGGGTAGTATAGGCGTTGGGTAGTAACCCTTCATCATCATGGTTTAATTAAGGAGCTTGGGTGGAGTTGATCTGCCAAGCTTCCAAATAAAGGCGCTGGTGGTAGCGGCGGTTGAACACTTAATTTAGCTCTAAGTTGATTTTTACCAATGCGCCATCGATGCCATTCGTTTGTGGGCAGTTTCGTTGACGAAGACAGTCATCAATGAAAGTGGCATTATTTACAGTCGCTCGAAGCCATTCGTTCGTGGGCCATTTCGCTATCATAGTCACACTGGGTTTGAAACCGGCATTTTGGCGCCACCAGAAATCCCGTTACAGTTTACGTTTTGTTTGCTTAAATTTCGCTTCGCAAAGTTTGGTAAGCTAACGGTGTTAGTATTTTGCAATACACTTGTCATTGGGAGCCACCAGATCTCTTTCCTACAAGGTAAGAGGGGGCAACATGAAGCATGCTGAAGTTTCACCGAGACAAATTGTTTTAAAAAATTTTATTCCCTACATATGAAGAATAATCCCCATTTGGTGGGTGGTTAGGTAAAAAAAGAGTCTAATGTGTATGATATGTAGGGCATTATTCTGGTTTCTTCTTCTTTTGGCTTGTTATACACTGAAAAAAAAAAGTCTTTAACTTCAAAACTGTTTAACACTTAATCAATAATTAAGACTGCCAATTTGTATCTGTTCAAATATGTATGTAAATGATATGATGATGCTCTAGAACAATCAGTGAAGTTGACATCAAAGATGCCCTGTACAAAGAAGACAGCCAACAGACAGCAAACAGACTAGATCTTACATAACAAATATGTATGGCTGTTTGCAAAATGGCTAATGCTTATGTGGCCTTGGGGTGGCATGGGTTTCCAGTGACAACTGTAAAAGTATTTTATAATTGTACATTATACTTAGTATGAGCTTCCTAGCCTATGTGAATGTAATTATAATTTGAACATGTATTAAAATAAAAAGAACAAAACAAAACAAAAAAAAAAACAGAAAAAAAAAAAAAAAAAAAAAAACAAACAAAAAAAGCAAAACAAAAAAGCAAATGAAAAAAAGCAAAAAAAAAAAATGAAAAAAAGCAAAAAAAACAAACTAAAGAAAAGAAAACAAAAAGGCAAATGAAAAAAAAAAACAAAAAAAAAACTAAAAAAAAAACAAAAAAAAACAAAACAAAAGAAAAGAAAAGAAAATGTAGTCTGTCCTTTTATCCCAACAATGAAGATCATATAAATAGTCATTTAACTAGTATGTTTTTTGTATGTTATTATTAATGTATCAATGTACACATATTTTATCTTAGTCTCTCTTCCTAAGAGCATTTCAAAAAAGAAAGTGAACTATTGCAGGGGGTGGTCAATCACACTTCTAGTGATAAATTGTACAAGTATCATTTTACAGGTGGTCTTTGATAAAAGTGTGTTTATAAACAGTATTAGCTTCATAGGTTCTATAAATAGAATTGTAATTTGAATATAATGAAGAGAATATAACCATTAGAAGGAAAAAGAACAGAGAGAAAAGCATGGTACTACAATAGACCCTTGCTAACTCAAACTCCCAAGAGAAATTACATGGAGAAAAGAGAAAGAGAAGAGAGAACTAAATGCTAAAGAGACAAAAACAAAACAAAGAAAAAGGAAAGAAATCTAAGAAAAGAGAGAGAAGAGAACAATAAAAGCAAGATAAATTGAAATTAAAAACAAAGGAAAGAAAAATAGAAAAGAGAGAAAATGAAGTAAAAACAGGGAAAAAAGAAAGAGTGAAAATAGAGTAGAAACAGGAACTTTGTCACCTTTTAACACCACTATTAATCATGAGTATTCTACTTTTTCAAAACCTAGCTTTAACTTAGGGAGCCGTCATTTATTGGTTAGTTAGAGGATTCTGGTTGTGTCACAATGTTTATCTGATTCCCCCTAAGGCTGTGCCCTATTCTTATGATCTCTCCCCCTCATTGGCAGTTCAGTTAGCAGTCAATTTTCTGTAGGCCCCTCTAAACTCTGTCAGTAATGATTGTTTCTCCTGAAAGCCCTGTGATCCCCCCAAAAATCTACCCCCTCCCCATGGCAATGAATAAAGATGTCCTCAGTGTTGCTTGTAAGCAGAGCAGTGTGACAGCTGAATAACATCCAAGGTATGCAGGCTCGAGCATGCCCGGTTTAAAATTTAGCAAAATTTGCAAAAAATTATAAGTAGCAGGCGTTAAAAACTGAGGCATTTTATCACAGAGGGCATTTTCCTATTTCCAAAGTTTTGAGGAGAAAATCAATTTTTGAAAATACCAGGGGGTGTACAAAATTTTGGGAAGTTCTGCAAAAGAAAAGCATCAAGGAATTTTTTTAAGTATGGAGAGCGAGCCAAATTAACCGCCGAACTTTGAAAGCCCTAAACAAGCGATTTTGAAACTTTCTGGTGGGAAAAAAAAAACACTTCCAAACAAGTAATGAACCATTAAGCTTTATTCAGAGCTGATTTTTTTTGATGACTGACTACCAGCGAAAGATTCTAAAAGCAATGTATTTGAACAACATTTATAACGGCCATGTAAATGCCATAGCCATCCTATCCCCACTCGTTAATAAACAGAAGTACTGTAAATTAAAATATTACAATTCAAATTAATTGATTTATATGAATGAAGCATTGTATTTACCTTTCTTGTATTGCAACAATACAAGAAATGAATCAACTGTCTTTTAAACTCGATGTCTTATATCCAGAGGCTATCTATGTTATTGGACAAAGAACTCTTGTTGGGTGTTCATGGAGGTGATGATGGTGGTAACAAAGAACATGATTATGATGATAAATCTCTCAAATTAGAAATGTAAAGGGGAAGTTATCACAAGTATTTCAAGACAAACCTGTTCGTTAAAAATGTTTAGGAGAAAATCGATTAGATGAAGTCAGCTGTTTGATGAGATACATGTCTATCAGTTCATTTTTGATGAGGAATCAGTAATCACGTGCATGAAAAATGATGCCATGGAAATACATTTTGGTGACGTCACAGTGGTCAGTGGTCATCAACTTTAGGCTGCCGAGTGCTTTGACGTGTTAGTCAAGTAAGCTTGATGAAACTATCCATTTTTTGCTTGGGTTTAAGTTGGAAAATATCCATAGCACTTCTCATTTTTTTGTTAGATTTGATACTTTGAATGGGTTTTTACTATATGCATTTTGCTGAAACTAACTGAAAATTGCTTATTGACTACAACTACCCTGCATACAACTGCTCTCCTCCCCTGTAATATATTGGGAAAAGGACATCTGTGTGGTGCTGTTGCTGTTCGTGTTTGGGAATATCTCTTCCCTGATTTTTATTTGACTAGATGGGCACTGCTGTACACAGGCTGAGTACAAGCTTTTAGTTACTCCTCATTACTTAGTGTTGACTGGGAATTGACAAACAGGTTTGTCTTGAAATACTTCTGATAATTTTCCCTTGAAATTGCTAATTTGAGAGATTAATCATCATAATCATGTTCTTTGTTACCACCATCATCACCTCCATGAACACCCAACAAGAGTTCTTTGTTCAATAACATACATAGCCTCTGGATACAAGAAATCAAGTTTAGAAGACAGTTGATTCATTCAAGGCTGTTGCAATACAAGAAAGGACAACACTATACTTCATTCATACAAATCAATTGAATTGTAATTATTATTTTAATTTACAGTACTTCTGTTTATTAAAAATTTGTTTTCTACTAGTACCAGAATGGTAATGTTACTCTGTGAATCAGGGAACTAAGTAAACCAGGGGTATTCTGTTGGCCAAGTACATTTTATGCAGTGGGTAGCAGTAGGTTAGTAATGGAAGAAAGAAAGCAAAAATAAATAAATAAAATGAAATCATTAGAGAGGGAAAAGTAGCATAAAAAAAATAAGCCACAGATTATCCATAATTGTGATGGGAAACAAATGCTTGTTGGGAAAGTAAAATAATTGCTGCTCAGAAAAAACAACAGGTGGAAAGTGAAAACTTAATTTGTCATCATTAAAATTGACATTTTGTACTTAAAACATACCTCGGCTTATTCTTCCTCTTGTTGAGGCCAGTTTTTGTACTTTGGAGGGCCTCAATCTTACACATGTTGCAGCAGTGTGTCTCCGGTTTATACGTAAAACTCTTTTAGCCACCTTGATTCAAAATTCGGTAAATTATAACGAGCGAGGATAGGATCGCTGTGTCACTTAAACGAGTGCCCATGTTGTCTTCTTCTCGACGGGTCTGACCGAAATGCCGTTGACATGCCGATTTATATGGTTCAAGCCACTACTTTATAAACCTGATAATGGCAGCCTCCTCGGACACCGCTTCAGCTTTTCAAAACCATCTCATTCTCATGTTTCAAAACCATCTCATCTCACGTTAAGTACACGACCCCACAAGCTTTTTAGCTTTAATTCTTATCGTGAATAAGTAAAGATTCTACTACTACTATTCTTGGCCGTAGCTCTTTTAAATACAAAATTTACTTGCGACTGACTCGCCGCCTGCGAAAATCAACATTTTCATATCGTGTGGAACTTCGGTTCGGCTTTGGCAAAATATATAATTGAGCTTAAGAACTATCCAAAAGATGAGCAGCGTTTCAAAGCTAAGTTTAAAGTATTCTTTCTAAGTTTTGCCTTTTTACGTTGTCGACCAGACTCGCGGCGTAAACATTGTGAAAGTTATCCACATTTTAAGGTTTCATTTTAAAAGGTGTCCACCGACCGGTAAAATGCTGCCTAAAAAACGTGAAAAAAAATTACTTTCGCGCAATGGAACCTTTCAGGTAATCCCTTACCCCTCCCCTGCGTACATTATACATGCATGCATAAATTTGTATTCATAAATGTAACACCAAAACAAACAAAGAAGACAACTGATGCGGTTATTGGGCACGAGTGTAGCTGGTGGGCTCTTTTGATTGAAGATGAAAATGAAATAAAATTTATGAATTGCACTTACATTTAATAATTCCACCTATACATCTCTAGTGGTAGGAGATTATCAATGCTAGGTCAGTATACTTTTTCTCATTCATTACTTTGATAGTCCTATCATATCCTGATTTTTTCTTCTGAATCTTTGCGTATTTTACCACTCTTTCCAAATTTTCTGGGACAACTTTTCTATCCAAATTATAATTTGAAAGGGCTCACTTTTGGGGGGTGGAGGGGTGATACAAGCAGTGAATATTTTTAGATTGCAGTCAATATTCAAATAAATTTCATTTGTTGAGTTAAGTAGGACATGTAGACCCATTGTTTTACCAACAATTCAGCTTTCATACAGTCACGTTTCAAGTCTCCAATGAAGATGCTATTATCGAAATAGCTGGCAGATAGCTTCTAATAGGTGCTCAGTGTCATGGAAGACAAAGCACGGAGAATTAGATTGCAACACAACCAACTGCAATTTTTAACAATTAGACCATATGCCCTGCTCAGTCGTAATAGACATACTAAACATGCATAAATAAAACCTCATTCACTTTGGGAGACTAATGAATGAAATTGAGTATCCATGCATTTTGTTGGAACTAATTACATAGAACTAACAAATGGTTTAGATTATGGAAACTAAATATTCTTGAGTTTTAGGAACTGTAATTAGTGCAAAAGAAAAACTGCACTGTCATGGCTGCTAGGTCTACAGATCAGTGAAAATCACCTGACTCTGCAGGGAAGTTCAACTGTATGGTGTTTTCTTTTTCTCAATCTTTTCTTTCCGATTACTAAAACAATATTAACAAAGTGGACGTTACAATACTAATACAAGCTACGATACAATGCATCAAAGGTTACCCGCAGCAATACTACTAATTATGGTGCCTTACAACACTACTTGTTACTATACGTAAGTTACAATACTACTGATTACGTTAAGTTACGCAAAGTTACTTTCAAATACTACACCTTTGGCAGTACTTATGAGTTTTTTTTTTCTCAATTTTCTTTTCCCAGTTACAGAAACAATATTT